TATTGTAAATTTCCAACAATGTGGAAGGAAGCTACTGTCATTCCTATTCATTAAAAAGGTAGTTTTAATGAAGGTACAAACTACAGACCAGTAGCTCTTACCAGCTGCTTATCACAGGTAATTGAAAAATGTGTTATTAAACATGTCTTTAACTTTTTTTCTAGATAATAACATAATGATCAAATTGCAGTCAGGATTCATGCCATGGGATGGCACTGTATATCAACTGACATACTTGTATGATTTTATACTACGTGCATTAGACAATGGCAAAGAAGTCAGGGCAGTTTTCTGTGACATAAGCAAGGCATTTGACAATGTTTGGCATAAGGGAATCATAGTGAAAATAGAAGCTTATGGTATTAAGGCTAGGTTACTTTATTGGTTTTAGAAGTTATCTTGACAATAGATTACAGAGAGTAGCTATAGACAATTACAATTCAGGTGTAAAGAAAGTCACTGCTGGGGTGCCACAAGGATCTGTCATTGGGCCATTACTTCTTTTAGTTTGCATAAATAATAACACTGAGGGTATCATTACTAAAATTCGTCATTTTGCCGCTGATACTTCGGTAATATGTTATTGTTGATAATCATGTTTTTACAGCCGCTTCCTTAAATGATGACTTAAACGGGATCTCTCACTGGGCTGAAATATGACAGGTTAGCTTTAATCCTGGTAAGACTGAAGCTGTTTTATACACCCGCAGAGGTACCGGTAATCAATTTCCATTTCCTATGCTTAAAATGCAAGGTGTAGACATTACTGAAGTCAGCTATTATAAATGCAGAGGAGTAACCTTACAATCAGATTGTAAATGGAACTCCCATACTGGTGTATGAGTCAAAAAGGTTCGTCCATTGCGGCTATGTTGTGAATGGAGATGGAAAAAAAGATCCACTTTAACGGACCAGTTATCTTTACATGTGGCATTTTGTAACATTACTATATGACATTTAGGTTGATGTAATACCATTGTATAGAATACAATTCTAGATGCACGTGTGAGGTTTAAGTTGTTTTTGAGAGCCCGGGCCAACTCGGACCGATCAGGGACTAAACACTTTTGATTGAGGCTTGGAATGGATAGCTTCACTCTAACGGACCAGTTATCTTTACATGTCACATTTTGTAGCATTGCAAAGTAATATTTAGGTAGATATAATGCTAATATGTAGATTTAAACACAATTCAAGATACATGTGTGAGGTTTAAGTTATTTTGGACGGTCCGGGCAAAGTCGAACCGATCAGGGACTAAACACTTTTGTTTGAGGCTATCTTGGGAATGGATAGGGAAAAGGGCTTCACTCTAACGGACCAGTTATCTTTACATGTGGCTTTTTGTAACAGTACAAAGTGATATTTAGGTTGATGTTATACCATGTATACATACGAATACAATTTTGGATATGGATAAGCAAGATCTTCACGAGGGACAAGTCAGAGAAACAACATCTATGAAACAACACAGAACAACAAAATGCAACAACAGCAGTTTTACAGAGATTTATTCATTAAGAAACAATTCCTCACAAGAGAGAAATAGATCACTACAAAACTATATTCATGTAGCAGAAGGATTACCTAAATAAAACCGACAAAAAGTGCCAATACAGACACATTTTGGTTCCAATAACTGGCAATACAATTTGATTTTGTCCATGACCCAAAAATCATGGATTTTAAAATCTTTGATCGGTAATAATTCTGTTTGCATTGTAGATTTTCCAGCATGAATTCGGTGGTTTTTCTTGAGCATACACCGAGTCAGCAACACATTTGTGCTAGTGGGAATTTATGGAAAGTGGAACATATCATCCAAGACATTTGTAGCATAGTCAGCATCATTCACATCAATGGTATTTTCTTTCACAGTGAACAACAAATATTTGATAAGGCTTTGTTTCATCACCGCTTACGGGCGGTGGGGTACCCTAGTGGTTAAAGCGTTCGCTCGTCACGCCGAAGGCCCGGGTTCGATTCCCCACATGGGTACAATGTGTGAAGCCCATTTCTGGTGTCCCCCGCCGTGATATTGCTGGAATATTGCTCAAAGCGGCGTACAGAGATATAATGTACGCACAAAAAAAGGAATAAATAGAATTATATTCAGTGAAAGGCGTGATCACGCTTGTAATAGCAATAATTACTATTTGTGGTCACAGAAGTTGTTGTCACTGCTTGTCCTCCTAACAAGTCAAGATGCCGCACTTTCTTCTTGAACTAAATTGTTTTGCATATTTTCCAAAGAGAATTTCTTCATGCAATATTTATTGTGATAACATACGGTATCATTCAACAAACAAATGTAAATTAATTAAGGAATAATAATCAATTAGAAGTAAAAATTCCTCTACTTACTATGTACCCGTGATGGTCCGGGTAAAAATATTGATCTTCAGTAACCCATGCTTGTCGTAAGAGGCGATTAACGGGATCGGGTGATTATGCTCGCTGACATGGTTGACACAAGTCATCGGTTCCCAGTTGCGCAGATCGATGCTCATGTTGTTGATAACTGGATTGTCTGGTCCAGACTAGTGTTGGGAATTGGTTAGAATCTCATACTTGACTTGATGATTGGTTCATTACAACCGATCAGTTATCGAAAATAATTGGTTAGCCTCATTTATGACATTTTCCTGGTTATTTTTGTTAATGAAAAAAGAAAGAAAGAAAAAACATGTAGTTCTTTGGAGGTTTTTTTTAAAATTGCACAAAATGCATTTGTAAATTTCACATCTTTAAAGGATGACTAGTAAGTATGTCAGGAACATAAACTTCTTGAAGTCTTTAAGATAAATTCAATCGTGACAGGAACGAGCTTGTAGTGATTATGAAATGAATATTTAAGGACAGACAAAACCAGCCTTGTGAAAAATATTATTAATGCAAACAAATGTTCCAGAATCGTTTGTGTTCGATTATGAGAAAACATGATCGATTGCTTGGTCGTTTAATCACTTCGACCAATCTTAAATTATTTCAATTAATCGGACCACCACTACTCCAGACTCGATTATTTACAGACCGCCATATAGCTGGAATATTGCTGAGTGCGGCGTAAAACTCAACTTACTTACTCACTCTCTATTCACTATGATAGCATTCTGGAAAAAAGACACACATAAATACAAGTGTCGGCATTTGGGATCAAGATGAATGAGACACTCAGTATCTCTTGATATATTCTCTGCTGTATACTTAGCATAGTTCCATTTCCTAATAAGGAAGATTCAAGATCATTTATAAAAATAGAAAATAATAGTGGTGATAAGTTTTCACCTTGTCTGATACCTTTTCTTCATTGAAAGAAAGGCGACATTTCATATTCAGCAATAACAGATGGTTTTATGTTATGATACATATTTCTAACAAGCGGTAAGAATTTGTTACTGATACCATTGCTGTTACGACGTAAATTGTAATAAAAACGCAAATTGTAATACTTGCAGCAAATTGTAATAAACTTGACGTAAATTGTAATACGCAAATTATAATGAAAATTGACGTAAATTGTAATAATTTTAGTTGCGGTAAAATGTAATACATATTAACGTAAATTGTAATAACAGTTTTAATCACTCGTAAATACGCGTGTGTTTGTTTTTCGTTGCATTTCATACATCATATAAGCTTGTTAGGGCGATAACTCAAGAAAGAAATGATGGATTTTGTTCAAATATGGTACCAAGGTATATTGGCGAGATACACCGACACAAGTGAGATTGAGTGACCTTGAGATAATTTGCAAGGTCACAGCAAAAATCTGAGGGTTTTGCCAATATAAAGATTGTTAGCGCGATAACCCAACAAAGAATTGACAAATCTTAGCTAAAGGACGAAAATGATATTCGTCCTGATATATAATCAATATAAAATCTGTAACTGTCCTCTGTATCATGTCTTTTGGCAAATATCTGTTGAGGTTTGGATATGTATACATATAAAGTGGGGGGTGGGGTGGGGAAGGGTTTTCTAACGGGTATATCTACGAGGGACGTTCAAAAAGTAGTCAGCCTCACCTAGAATATGATACAAATGCAGCTGTTTTTATGTTTTATTTTTCTACATATTATCTGTCAGCCTCAAGCAAATCGGTTTTGCTATGTTGTAGCCTCACGATCCCCATTTTGTGAGACTTTGAATCTTGGCTTGGTACTCCCAAAAACGTAAAATCTGCAATAAAATGCATCACAAACTTCAGGAAACAAAATATGCTATGTTTGAGATTGGTAGAAGTCCGCTAGAATCAAACATAGATATTAAACTGCACACAAAAGCAATTTAAAACTACACTCGCTTTTTCAAATGACAGTTTCGGTAACGTTTACATAATTTTCAGGGTCAGGCAGAGGCTTATTGCGACATTCAGATATCGACATGTGTCGGGGGTAACAGCTATGTTTGTGACAAACGCAAATGGTTTCTATAATTTCACGTTGATTCTACCAGCTGTGAAATTATTCGCGACATGTCTTAAAAAAGCCGGGGCGGTGGGGTAGCCTAGTGGTTAAAGCGTTGGCTCGTCACGCCGAGGACCCGGGTTCGATTCCCCACATGGGCACAATGTGTTAAGCCCATTTCTGGTGTCCCCCCGCCGTGATATTGCTGGAATATTGCTAAAAGCGGCGTAAAACTCTACTCAGTCAGTCGGTCAGTCAGTCTTAAAAAAGCCAGTGATTATTTGTGTATGTTTCGAATATTAAAGTTAATTGTTTTTTCATTATGGAGTTATTTTCGATGTTGACGCAAGGACATATTTTACGAGCAATAGCTTTCAATAATTTAATGTTATTTCTATTACATTTTGAAGTTCTTCAAATCCAAAATAACAGGAAATTGTTTGTTTACGCTTTGAAATGTACGTTTATAATTCTTCATTTTCAAATTATTTTCAATGTTGATGCGATGACATATTTGAAGTTAATTTTATGTTTTGATCATTTGTGATTTATTATGATTTATATTTCGATCATACATTCATATATTGCGTTTTCATAGTTTAACTTGGTTCGTATTATTTTCTTCATCATATTACTACATATTATTGTATTTTTATGAGAGGGAATTTTATGTTACATTTGCTAAGGATATCATGAATCGCTGGCGCCTGGTTATTCCTTGCCACATAGCAGTCAATCTGTCTACTAATTTGTTGTATTTGATGGGTGTACTCCCATTTAGGAGAACTCCCAGTGGTGAGACTCCCAGTTATGAGACAGTGGAGAAGGTAATTAACAACGAAAACACACCATACTCCCCTGTCTGATGGAATGGATTCACCCTAGCTAATTACTGATTTGCTATGTAACTGAATCTTGTGGAGGTTACTTAATGAAACCTTATAAGATAAATTGATTAACATACTCATGTAAATGTCTTTAATAATTAAACACTTTGTGTAGGTAACTTCGTGATCAAAGAGAAATTAATTTACCTACTCAGATTTACTCCGTCTCCGAAACTACAAGCTATAGTTTAAGAAATAACTCTGAAATACAAGAAATTTCCAGTCGAACTGCCTCTCATGCCAAACCCTTTCTACCCGACACAATAAATTTATGGAATGCCCTGCCAAATTCCAAAGAGTCATGCAGTCTCAAAGAATTTTAAAACCTAATTACAAAAACCGAAAAAAGATTTATATTGATCTTAATTATGGCTCTTGTTTTTGTCAAATCGTTCACTGCCGCCTCAGGCTCGGATCTAGCGACCCAATCGCCGATAAGTATTACAGACATTTAATAGACAGTGCACGTTGCTCTTGTGGATATCAACTACCCGTTATAACCTGGATAATATTTTGAACGGAAACAAAGAATTTACTCCTTGTGTAAACCAGAATATATTTGAATCCGTCCATGATTTTATCATCAAGACACAGCGCATCAAATTTTCTCAGGGAAATGGTTAAATTAACTCAACAACTTTCTCGTGATTGATTTATCTTCCTAAAATAGCTTGTTAGACACACACAACTGTAAGTCTCTAATTATGACTACTTAGAGAATAGTTGCATTTGATGTAATCTGTATATATCTATATGTATTTAAAAATATATTTATGCACTAGTCAATATCGATGACGTCACATCCTCAATTTCGTTTTATATTTTATGTTGCATGGGAGCGGTGTTAACATGAGCAGTAATACTTCACCAATCCCAATTCATTTTCATAAATAATAATAAAATATGTTCAAACTAAAATTACTTTCAAACTTCATAATAGTCAATAAATATGTGTTATTCTTCTGAATCAATAAAATATTTATTGAACTATTTCTTCTGTGTAAATATAATCTTTGAAAATCTATTTCATAAGTCAACTCATCAATGGACTATGCCGCCTGTGGGTACTGGGCTGGGCTGATCCCACTTTCATTGTAGGGATGTGGAAACACCACCTATGTGCACTGAACCATTAATTAATGTGTCTCACAACTGGGAGTTCTCACAAATGGGAGGACACCATTTGATTGATGCATTTAAAATAAAATGTAGAAATGCTTTTGAATTGTATCATTTGCTTCAAGGAATCGATCATTTCTTTCTGTAAGGTATACAATGTAAGTTGACACCTTAATTGTTATGGGTAGACTAAAGAAATCATTTATTTAGTTTCACCGCTCAAATTACAACAAATAAATCAACGGGTGACATTAACCTCAAAGAATGATAATAACAATGCTTATAACCTACGAGGGCAAACATATCGGGGATAATTTGTTTTCATGCGATATGCACCGGGTAAAATATCACTTTGTCATGGTGACATGACATCATGAACAATGTTATGACGTCACGTTGCTTCTAAGAAGCCGCCTTCTAAATACAACGATGACGGGGAGCCTGCCTTTGTTGGAAAATAGATTGTCGCGTAATTTCCTCAATTAAAGACTTCGGTAATAAATAGAAAATTATATTCGTGACCATATCATGCTATGTTAAATATCGGCATATCCCTTCTCTGGCTCCGAAAATACCAAGATTTAGGCAGTTGTGTTGTAAACTCATATTTATCTTCTATAAAGTCGGCTATATTCAAACCATGAGAAATGTCGTCCAATAATGTCTGATAAAAATTAACAACGTCCCAATAATGTTCATAGATTTTAGAATTTATAACAAAAATGCACAACCTCACTACTTTTATAGATAAATGACAAAGGATTATTCAACCATATTAATTTGTTTTCAGGCTTGAAGGACGAAGCTCATTAAAAATCTATTGCCAGCTGCTTTTTAGAGACTGATAAAAGGTTCGAAAATGTGGGTCATAAATACATGAAAGTTTTTATTGTTGTATGTTGGACATACCCGTTAGGCCTCATGCCTCTACATGTATTTGAGATATAACCGTTAGAACCACCACCACCCTCTCTATGTCTTAAAGTATGCTAGATATAACCGTTAGAACCACCACCACCCCTCTATGTCTTAAAGTATGCTAGATATGACCATTAGAACCACCACCACCACCTCTATGTCTTAAAGTTTGCTAGATATAACCGTTAGAACCACCACCACCACCTCTATGTCTTAAAGTTTGCTAGATATAACCGTTAGAACACACCACCACCCCTCTATGTCTTCAAGTATGCTAGATATAACCGTTAGAACACACCTCACCACTTTTCTGCCCATTTACTCAACTGGGCTAAATCATAGTTGAGAGTTGCTTCTATGGATTTTACATATTTTCCCGCAACACCAATTGATGTGTCATCGGCCAACATTATTGTGATATTTTGTAAATTTCCAGGTAAATCATTGATATATCTATACAAGGAACACAAATTAACCAAGGACAGACCCTTGAGGCACCCCTGCAGTGACATTTAGTACTTTTGATAATGTTCCATTAACAGAGACACACTCTCGTCTATCAGATAGACAGTTAGTTAACCAACTAAGTACGTTTCCACGAATACCATTATTTTCTAATTTGTGCAATAAACCTTTATGCCATGCCCTGTAAAGCTTCTGAAATATCACAAAATAGCATACAGTAAAGGTGGTGATTATCTAGGACTGAGCATATATTATGACAAATGTCTATGTTGAGATGTACAACAAAAACATGACTAGCAGTAAAACCTGACTGGACTTTACTTAAAATGTTATGTTCAAGGAAATGGTCGTGCACATGCTTTACCATTATTCTTTCAAGGACTTTCCCAAGGAAAGGTAATAAACTAATAGGTCTGTAATTAGTTGGGAGGGGTGTATCTATATCTTTAAAAATAGGAGTCACATTACCCGTTTTCCACATTGTAGGAAATACAGTCACTCAGTGATATATAAGACAACAAACAAAGAGGCTCAACTATAGATGTACAAATTCGTTTTAACACTCTCGTGTTAATGCCATCAGGACCACTAGATTTGTTTGCTGGTAAGGTCTTAATCATATCAGATACCTCCTTTTCGGTTACAATGACATTTGTTATACTGTTAACACAGCGACGGCTAACAGGTGGCAAAGTCTTGCCGCCATCATTAACATCTGAAACAGAACAAAATATTAAATTAATGTTTGAGCTTTATCCAAATCTGTAAAAACTGAAGGTATCCCAGAATCACCAGTGACAAGAAGGGGGATGGGTCCCGATGAAGTAGTAACCACCTGACTGAGTAGACTGGTGATAAATAGTTATCAAAAGTAGATAAAAAGTTTCCCTTGGCTATTCTTTTCTGATTATTTACTTTATTCCTTTGCTTTTTGCATATAAATAGCTCAGAAGTATTCAGAGATCGAAATGCTTTTTTCTTTAGACGTTCTCTTTTCTTTTAAGTATGTTACGAGGGGCGTTGAAAAAGTAGTCAAACTAACTATATTCTCGATGTCCAATGTTTGCTAAAAAGATCCCATTTTATTTTGAAGGAATCATTATCAAAGTCATATCCAACATTTCATGTGGGTAATGTGGTTAACGAGATATTAGTCATCACAACATTGGGGTATAATGTTTCTTGCAAATTTGCAGAAAATGGAAAACGATCTCCCATTTGGTATCTAGTAATAGTAATAGTCCGCTTATATGGCGCTCACATCCAGGCACATTGCCTGCTCACGGCGCTACGTACATTACTATCCCCGATCATAGGACACTATCGTACTTTCCGATACTTTTCCAACTTCCTGGGGAACATACAGCCATGCTGCCTGTTAGGCGCAATGAACTAAACACTCACATTGCCAGCACATCCTCACGGGTACCCATTTTACAGCTGGGTGAACTGAGACAATATGGATCTAAGTATCTTGTCCAAGGATACTACGCAAACGTGCCCATCTCGGGACCCGAACCTCGGTGCCTCCTCGAAACCGGGCCTTCAGCGTGATAGGCAGACGCCTTACAACTGCTCTATTGCGCTATCTCCTGGATAATGGCATGCCCTCAGATAATATCATATAAAATATGTTCAGCATAGTATTGGATGACTTCCCGTCATCATCAACATTCAAAGATTTGGATTGCTTGATTTATATTTAGACGGGGACTGTTTTTTTAAGGACACCCTCATTTAAATTTTTCAAAAACATTGTGTCCAGATATACAATATATTGAGAGCTGACACTTTTGTGACCACTCAGTATTTAGTTTGAACCTTGACACCATGTATGAATAAGTGAAAACTTTAGGATGAGTTATATCCTTATGATGACGTCAACTGAAAGGGGGTGGACTATTACGTAGTGTCTCCAAAACAAGCTCTTTCAGTGAACATGAAGGGGGAGTCATTTGAACAAGCGATTACAGTATCAAATTGCTTTTTTGTGCAGTTTAATATGTACGTTTGACTTTTACCAACATACAAAATGTTTCTAGCATATTTTGTTTCAATTGGTGTAGGGGCATTCCCGCCTATAGACCTTCCCATAAAATAGGAATAAAGTCCAATAATTCTTTCCTGAGTTCGCGGCTACCAAGTTCAGCATGTGCAGAACTGTTACACCTTCGCTGTGACCTTTAAAATGACCTCAAGGTCACTAAATTGAAG